TATTCTCACCAGTTTACTAAAGTTAAGAGTTCCAGATTGCAATACCTCCGGTTCTGTCACTTTGAATTTCTGGGAAATGTTAAGAGCATGAAACTGGCTGTACGCACTCAGAGCGGATGGGGAATGGGCCCACCTGAAACTTGAGCATGGTGGAGAGCCCTCAGCACACAGTGAGCCCTGCCCCATCTGTCCCGTGCCCCATGCTGGCTGGGAGCAGAGCCAGGCACTGGTCAGCTGCTGGTGCAACCAGAGCTGCAATAGCTTGATGGCTGAAGAGGTTTGGAGAAAGGGAAAAATTTCCCCCTTTGAGCCCCCTTTGAACTCAAGGCTGGTCCCTGCTAAACTTGAGCAATAGCTATGGCTGGTGGTTTTAATTCTGGCAGACTTCATGAAACCAGCAGTGGACGAAGAGGAGCAGCAGTGATCCTGCCGCCGAGGGAAGGGCTGCACCCTGAGAGGCAGCAGAATGCCCCCCGCCAGTGGGAAGAGATGCAGTCAGAGCTCGCACACTGCTCAGCACAAGAAAATCCCACTGCAGATTACAAAGCCAAGGAAGCCTTCATGTTTTCCCTGCTGCTCAGAGAGCTATTTATATTTTAGTGTTCAACACAACATGTAAGCTGAGAGCAGACCTGCTTTTCTTCTCCCATGCTTCTTCTGGCTGAGGTGGTGCTGGGGCTCCTGGGCATCCTGGTGAGGCTGGAGGAAATCTGGAAGCGTGGCACACCTGGTCCACAGCAGCTAGAAGGGGCCAGAACACCTGGTGTTCCCTTCAGCCCCTTGGCTTTGCGGTAGCTGAGAAATAACCAATCTGTGATGCTTCTTCAGTTCTCTGGGTTAGATTTCAGCTCAGAAATAGAGACGGCTGTATCCATTGGGCTTCTTTTAACAAACTAAAAAAAAAATCTTTCTCCTCATCCTTCCTTTCATCAGGAAGATTCACTCCCTGTAATAATCCCCCATAAACCATGACTGGCTGAAGGTCCCTGCCTTACTCCCGAAGTCCTCTCAGTCCAAACCTTGCTCTGATTTCAGTGGAAGCAGGACCCCATGCCAAGCGATAAGGCAAATTGCTTTATAGTCTTAACCTGTGAGCGCGGCTTACTCAGCAAGGAAATTAGCAGCTTCAAACACAGACACAGGTACACAACAAACCCTCCTGTTACTCAAGTAAACCTGAAAGTAGTTTGAGAGCTACAATTTTATTGACTGGGAAGTCAATAAAAAGGATTAGCTTTTAAGATTAACAGTAAAACTTGATTGCTTCTTTCAGCAGCTAACCTAATAATTTCAGGAGCAGAGGCTCTGGGATCTGTAGATCACGTAGAAAAACTTGGTGAACATCTTTGAAAAGGAATGTTTTTTTTATGCATGGATGGAAATAATTTAAGCCACATAAAGCCTCGACATGCTCTCCTATGTGTGGTTTTTCTACTTGTCAAATAGAGAAAAGAAGACCTTGACCTTTTTAGGAACAAAAGGAAAGGGTTTTCTTTATGAGAAGTACTTCTTAGTGATTAGATACAAGTGTCTGATTGTGTTAATTCTCAAGGTCTGTTCTTATTAATGTTCAATTGTTGATTAAAGGCATTGTCTGCAATTAATGCCTGTCAGTGGTGTTTACACACGGTGATGATATTTCATCGGAGAAGGTAACCCTGTTAATAAGTTGCAGCCCTGAGAAATAAGCAAAGGGCTAAGTGCCTTGTAGAGGCTGTTGATCACATGCAGATGCTGCTGGGCACTAGGGCGGAACCTCGCGCATCACCCTGTTTGTTCTCACACAGGGCTCTGCGTATCAGTGGGACTCTGCTCCGGGGTCATCCTGGGAAGCAGTGGGAAGGCTGCAAGGGGAAATATGGCAGCAGAGCTGGCTGGGGCCAGGCAGCAGCTTCTGACAGTGGGGCTTCTGGGGTAAATGCCATGGGTGCCTGTGCTTGAAAGCACACAAGCCTCTCTCCAAATTCTTTCTCTGTTGCCTATAGAAGAAACTTTTTGGCTTTTCTTTGAGGTTGTCACCATTCTGCCTCACCACCTTTGGATGCCTTTTTAAGTTATGAGATAGTTTGAGGTGGTATTAGCAATCGATGGAGCCCTGAAAGATGAAGGGAGTTTGCGCTGCTCAGCAACCTAAGCCTCAAGTGAAATCTTGGGTTTGAAATGACCCTGTCCAAAAACTTTCCATCAAGTGATGTGAAAGGTGTTTGAATCCTCTCTTGGAGACCACTGGTTGCTGCATGGTAGGGCAAGATGCAAGAGCAATAACAACTGCACTCTGACTCTAACTGCCGAAGCACTTAGAGTCAAAGGCAAAACGAGCATATTCAGCAAAGCAGAGAGTTGTCTTCAACAAGACAACTTTATTCCTTTATTGGAAAAAAGATGTTTTAAAAACTTCTTTAAAAAATAGCAAGAAGTAGAAATGAAATGGTTACTGGTTAAGAATGTTTTCATAGCATGCCTATAGAAAACACAGTAGTCGTATGTGCATGCATTGTATTTTACTATTAGTTTGTTACATAGGGTCCCACTTGAAACAAATCATGCCTTTAATGGAGCCAAGTAGTTCCAGTGACCTGGCATTAGGCTTGAACCTGCGGCAGAGTTAGTCCATGGCGGTTCAGATAGCAGTTTGCTTGCTTCCTTCTCTAGGGATCGAGTTGTCCCTGTTAAGGCTAAGCTCCACTACTGGTCCTGTATGGCATACTGAGCTGATCAGAAAGTAGAAAGGATTGGTGGGCATTTCCTCCTGTGAAGAACCCTCTCATCCATGCCCTTGTGGAAATACATTTCCATCACTAGGAATCACTCCTCTCTGAGGAGAGTTTAGTATCCAAAGCCCTTGTCCATCCAAAAATAAACTGTGACAGGTTCACTGCAGGACAGATCTTTGTCATAGTGGAAAATGATCTCTAGAAAAGAATACAGAAATTATTTCATTTTTTTCAGTTCTGAACAAATACAGGTTCTCCAGTTAAGGCGCTCTCACGTTTCTGTCTCAGATTTGTCCAGCCATTGAATGTTTAGTGTTCAGTCTTCAAATGTAGCTTGTACTCCATGAATGATCAAGCTGCTTGTTCCTGGACAGCAGAGGCTGTTGACTACAGCAAGTATGATGCCGTGGTTCCATGTGGAATGGTAAAAGCTTTAGTTGTCTTGGCAGGCAAGTTGCTAACAAAGCATTCTGCACAAAACTGTGGCAACTTTTGACGTGGACGTCAGCGTCGCTGCTTGCTGTGACCAATTTGACCCACCTCATTTTTATGTTTTTCTTGATCTAGCCATGTCTTGAGTTCATGAGCAGGAAGGTGCTCTTGGAGGCATGATCCTCAGCTCCACATAGTCTGTTAACTTCAGCATATGCTGGATGAGATCTTGAGCGTCTTTTACTCCATTATCTTTGGCGTCTACTGCATAGGGAGCACAGCTTGCAGGCATGCCAGAGCTTCTGAATTTGCCCAGCATCTGCATTCCAGATAACCAAGATGCTTACTTCTTTAAAAAGAAAAAAAGGTGCCTATAAACCATCCTGGAAGTTTATGTTACATGAAAGTTTAAAAGAATGTATAACCATTTCATTCTGCCTCCAGTCTTTCGTGTACAGTTCTAGGTTATCCTTTCTATTTTAGGAAAACCTTTAAACATGATTTGGGGTGACATAAAACAACCTCGCTGGCAGTGTGACAAAGATAGTGCACCCTTTCAGAAAAATCATTGTGTCTATTTAAATATTAGGCTTCAACTTGTTAGTGAAAAATGTGTCGCACACAGCATTTTTTTTTTGTGTGTGTGGGAAAATACAGTACAGATTTTGAAGTTTAAAAAAGTCTGGCAAATTACAAATTAGGGTAATAATTCATGGGAGTAATAAAATATCAGACTTTTATTGCTCTATTGAGAAGGGCATTAAAAAGCATCTGGGAACTTGAGGTTTGGGAAGATGGGCTTTGAAAGACTTGGTGGGTTAAATATTAATGTAGAAAATATGGGATCTGTAAATGCCTGGAAATATGCTAATGGGGCTTGATTCGGCCAGGGATCAAGTGTTGCTTTGGGGTGCTGAGTGCCTCTGGGAGCTCCTGCTGACAGAAGGAGCTGAGGGACCTCAGCATCTCTTGGAATCCCACTGTGCCTGAGAGCAGCATGCCTCAGCGAGCACACTGAGGGCACTTGGTGTTGGCTGGGCCAAGGGCAAGCCGTGGGGGACATGGCAAGGTGAGGTCACCCCTGTAGCTGAGGCCCTCAGGCCCAGCAGCTTCCTGGCCCAGGCTAGGCCTCTGGCAGCCAGAAGCCACCCCCCCATGCAGCACCAACCAGCATGGGGCCCATAGGGTATGTGAGAAGCCAGACTGAGGAAGAAACTCAGGCTGGTTTCATCCAGGCCAAATGGTCTGGTGCCCTCCCACTGTCACCTCCAGCCAGCTGAAGGAATAGTAGCAGCCAAAGAAGCTGCTCTGCGCCAGCATGGTGGGAGTGTGATACGTTTTGCTTCTGAGTCCAATGGGGCTGGAAATGAATTTCATTTTCTACCCATGTCCTCTGACTGGGTTGTAGTTTAGTCTGTCCTCCCATGAAGTGACGCTCTCTTTTTACCTTAATTTCACTCATATTTTTCAGCCTGCTATTTGGTTAGATGCTACGGTCTCAAGGGAACTAAGTCCTCACTCGTCAGCCGTTTATTGTTTGTGCTGAGGAAACCAGCCCTTGTTGGCAGTGGAAGCCTCCAGAGGCGTGTGCTTTTCATAATGTTCTTCAACATGGAGCGTAGTATTTCCAACCTAACTGTCTTCTTGAAGGAGCTGTGAACACAGAGGCAGACTGGTGAACTCAGGCAAGCCACTTTTCTCCCCAGCCATCGCTGCAAGGGCTGTTCTGGCTTCTCATCACGCTCTGCCTCCTGCAGTGGCAGGTCACTGAGCCTGCACACCTCTGCTCTTGAAGCACCTTCATTTTCTTCGCACTGTTATTTTTAATACCCTACTCCTATCTCTTGACTTCAGATTGCTGATGGAATTCCTGTGCCACATGCATCATTGAGGAGCAGCACAGAGGTGGAAAAGGGCTCTACAATAAGGGATCTCTGGCCTTCACTGGCCACCAAAGAGCTATTGTGGAGCTCTGGAGATACCAGCACCATCGTCAGTGCAAGGTAATGTAGACCTGCAGGACTTCCGGGCCTTTGTTAGCACTTGTCATGGAGTGGAGCAGCAAGGGGGTTGCGTAGTGCATTTCCTGAGACAGAATAAATAGATCTCAGCTTTCTGGCATTGATTTTTTGACAAAGGATTCAAGAATCTGCAGCTGTGCTGGCTTCCTCGTCCCCTCCCCCACTTTATTACAATGCATGTTGTTCTGAAATACTCAATTCAGCTATAAACAATCTACTCTATCAACAACATGCTTTTGCACTTTTTGAAATGGTGCTTTGAGGCAGATAAATGAAAGTAAGTATGGCAGCTTGCCAGTAAAAATCCTGCAAACTGTATCATCACAGGGGCACTGACTAAGACAGCACATTATTTTATTTACTGTGGAAACTGAAAATCCATTTCTGCCCATACAATAGCTGTTTATTTCATCTTTGCTTGATGTTTGTTCTAATCTTACTTGACACTTCTAGATAGTAATGGTTCGCAAGCTGTTCAGATCAGTGCTCGCAGGGCTCCATCAGCCAGCACTTCTTGCTGGTGGTAGAAGTCCAGCACCCTCTCTCCTGACACATGCCCTCTCATTGGCAGCAAGGGAGACCACCTGAAGGTTGGGCACCAGCATGGTGCGGGGCTAGCTGCACCAGTCCCAGCCTCAGTCCCACAGTTTAGCTTGCATGTGTACCTCTGCCAGCCTGGATGGGCACAGGACACATGTTGTGAATGCTTTGCAGGAGGCTAACTTGGGCACAGGTGCTCCTCAGTTTTTGAGTTTGTCTTTCTAGATGCTCAGTTTATCAGAGGTTGACATTAACAGCTGTTTAAATCCCAGACATCCCATACTACACAAAACTGATTTTGAAATGCAGAGAGACAGGATAGCCAGTGTGCTCCTGCTAAGGCTTGCTGGGCTCAGCCTGGTGCTAGTCATTTCCTAATCCCAGCAATGTGTCCTCTGATGGCGTGGTGGCCCATTCCCTGGCTCCCGTGCTGGTGGAACAGTTCCTGCACCACTCATCACAATGGCTCAGAGAGGAAACCAATGGGAGGAAACCCGGCTGGGGAAGAATGCTGAACCATTCAAAAACCTCTGGAGAGAAAATTAGTAATATTTTGTTTTCCTGAATATTTTCATTGAAATTTTGGGAAAATAATTGCAGATGAAAGATCTCTGTTTTTGTTATTCCATTCTTTATTATTTGTTTTTGCATCCTTGCTTTCTTCTTCTTCTTTTTTTTTTTTTTTTTTTTTTTTTGAATATTCTTCCTCCCACTTCTTTCCTTCCTCTCTTTTGTTACACTTTATTTTGTTTGCCACCACAGAAGAAGTGAGGAGGGCAAGGAAGAGAAAGAAATGTCATTAAGTAAAGAAAAAGTATGTTTCCAAATTTTCTTTTCCAGATCTGGTGAAAATAGTTTCTTTTGTTAACTTTCAGATCTTAATAATGGCCTTTTATGAAGAAAAATCAACTGAAAATGATTCTAAGCAGCTGTATTTAACTCTTATTTGGGGAATGCCATTTTATTCTTTGACATAGCCAGAGGCTCCTCTGGACACTGCACTGAGGAGTTCTCCTTCCTGCTTATCCATTATAATTCACCACGCTGAGCAGTCAGGAAACTCCTGAGGAGTCTTTTGGTAATGTTTTGTTGGCCAGCTTAGGCTAAGCTTGTCCTGTTTATAAGCTTGTCCGTACTACTGCGTCTTCCTGTGTCCTCTTTGTTAAAGCATGACGGTGCTTTGGGCATAAAGCTGTGTATGGCCTGAGACTGGCAGCTGGGCTGGGGGGGACAGCCATGGCAGAGAAGGGTGGCTGAAGATTAATACGAATTACACTGTCTGTAGAGACAGGTTCTTAGAGACGTGTGGGTTCAGCTCTGCTTTTACCAGTCACTCTTAAATGCTATTTTCCATCTGGGAACAGCCTGTAAGGTGAACGTACAGGATTGCTGAGCGCTTTCGGATGGGTGTCAGGCAGATAAGTGGATGTTGCTCTTCGTGCTACCAAATACAGGATATACCTGGGTGGCTGCGTTTTTTTCTGCTTTATCTTACCTTGAATCTATTCAAAACAAACTAGATCTGACAATTACACATATGCAGTGTACACCTGAGACACACAATCGTATTTACAAATCAACCTAGGGGACTGAAATGCGCGTCTTTGATTAATTTTAGTGGTAAAGTGTCCAAATATTGCACAGCTTTGCAATAAAGCTGCAAACATCAGCTATAGTTCATTGGAGTGATCCTTCTTACTTTTATTTCACAGAACACTTACTAATTCTCAGCCTGTGCTACAGAGCTCGAAGGAGCAGCTCTTTCTGCACAAATGTTTTCTTGGAGAATTCCTCATGGCAGTATTTTGGGTATGCTCACGTATGAACCACTGAAGCATCCCCAGTGCAAACTCTAAGCAGAAAAGGGCTGTGTTTCAGACCAAATGGCTGACACAGTCCAGTAGGCTGTACAGGAAAGCCTGGAGAGGGTTTGCCTATCCTAGGGGTGTGTGAGGTGTGACACCAAAGTAGGGCAAAAAAGCTCAGGAAGTAGAGAAGTACAATTTTGACATTTTTAATGTTGCCCTAGTCATTATACAAGCCTATTCTAATATGGCTGGTAGCATACTGATCACACAGGAGCCGGAGCAAAGCTACTGTGAACACTCAACTGTTGTGACAGAAAAATAGAAAATGAAATGAAATCTCTCATCAGGGATCTTCCAAGGAATGAAATCACACACAAAGAAACAGAAGAACAGTGGGCATTGCAAGGTGTCATGTGTGACAGCAGACCAACATCACCTCTGCTCTTGCTGAGTGTTCCATGTCCCCTCGGGTGGGAGCTGGTGAATGACCACCATGTTCAAATACACAGCAAGGCAGTGTCAGAAATTACTGTAATGAAATGTGTCCTGCTGGGCTGCTAGAGCAGAGCCTGAGTGTAGTACAGAAGCACCTCCATGTGCATGTATGGGGATGGCCTCTCCTGAAGCCTGCCCAGCTCAGTAGGCTACATGGGATGGCATTAGGAAGGGCTGTGAATGGGGGACTGTGAGCAAGCTGGAGATCTCTGCAGGGAGGACAGTTAGAAATTCCTACTTGGGCACTCCAAACATTTTGTGAGGGCACCATTTTGTTAGCAGGAACCATGCTGGCACATGCTCAGGGAATACACTACTGTGTGACCAGCATAAGTTACTTATTAGTTCAGTTAAGACGTGAAATGTTAAACATTAAATAAGGCTAAGTGAAGTTATGAAATCATAAACTGTGAGTCTGCAGAAAGGAAGAGGCAGGAGGGTCCAAGACGATGGCCCCTCACTACTTGTGGAGATACCCCTCCTGCAGCACTCTTCATTCCTCCAGAGGGTTTCAAGCTCTCACTGGTACCAGCCATGCCCCAAAACTTGTCAGAGCAGGACTGTGGGGGAAGTGAGTTTAGGCAGGGAGGGGAGAGGGAGCACTTCCTCAGCCTGCAGCCAGAATCTGCTACCTAACAGAGAAAGGACAGTGGGATTTTCCATGCAACAGAGACTGAGTGTGACTGCTGGGGGAGAAAGCAGGTGGAGAGATTAGACATGTCTGATGCTGACAGAATGCATGTTTCTGCTTAATACATTGGAGAAATTGTTCAGGAGCAATCCAGCCATGTGAAAATATGACCCTTGTAATACTGCCAAGGTCAGAAAAATCTGAGGAGATCTACTGAGTAAGGGCTGGTCCTGCAAGGAGAAGCTGTCCAGAGCCAGCATGACCATGTTGCTGGGCAGCTCTCACCAGGGCAGTGTCAGGGCCTCTGCTGCCCTTTTCAGTGCTTGCTTGTGCTCTGCTCGCAAGAACTAAAGTTCCAGGCCTTCTCCAGCCCACCTGGCCCTGGGCGCTTCAATCACTTCTGAGTCTGAAAATCACATTGCTCCAGAAAGGTTCATGAAACTTCTAAGGAAGTATTACTTTTCAGAAAGGGTGGTCAGGCACTGGAACGGACTGCCCAGGGAGGTGGTGGAGTCACCGACCCTGGGGGTGTTCAAGGAAAGACTGGATGTTGTGTTGAGGGACATGGTTTAGTAGGAGCTATTGGGAATAGGTGAACGGTTGGACTGGATGATCTTTTAGGTCTTTTCCAACCTTAGTGATTCTATGATTCTATGATTCTATGATTCTAAGAGGGAGTTGGATCTTCTATAGATCTTCTTTCCATGCTGTTTTCTTTGCCTTTTGCTCTGTTCTAAAAATGATACAGTTATTAAACAGCTTTCCTTTCTACTTATCAGGGCCAGCTTGAGGAAGAAGGAATTGTGACTCTTCCTGCCTGCAAAAGTATGCCTGCTTGGAAAGTCCATCTACAAATCCTAAAGAGGTATGTGAACAGTTTGGGGCAGTCCTGGGGAGCACCGAGTGCTAGAAGGAGGACATGTGCTTGTACAGAAACACAATAGACCGAGAGGCGGGAATGCTGTTCCTCTGAAGTTCTCCTTTGGATTTCCGTAGATTGACTATGAAAGACCCATACCCTCTAAAAGATTTGGGCTGAAGTAATAGCCAAGTGCTCGTCTCAGGCAATTCAGAACTGCTGAGTGTTAGAGCTCTGCCATCCCCTGGTCAGGTAAGCTGTGTGCGGGCAGGCCACTGGCCTTAGGCCTCTAGCAAGGAGGCCTTGGAGAGGTCCTGTGGCTTGTGCTGACCATTTTCATAGTGCCACGTTGGTGCCCCATTGCTGTCACAGCAGCATCCAGTGAGACATTTGTGGGGAAAGCAGCTCTGGAGATTGTCTGAGTCCCTGTGAAGGGGGGAAAAAAGATGAACTAGCAAAAAGTTAATTAAAACTCTTATTATGAGGTGGAATTTAATACTTTAAAAAAATGCGGTGTGACCCAGTGCAGCACTGCAGCTGAATTAATCATGAATGAGGATAGTAATTTTTAATTTTTGTGTGCATGAGAAAAACACTCAACAGATTTGACAATTAGAGCAGGGTAACAGCATTGCATGGCACAATGTGAAGTAGTTTTTCCCAGTGGTTTTTGCGAGGGAGCTAAACAGATGTGCTCAAATATTTACAAGTGCACAATATTCACATGCTTTTCAAATGCTGACCCTGCTGATTCGCAAAAGTCTGCTTCAATCTGGAGACCAGCTACTGCAGTGACATGGGCTATTTATCATCGGTAACACAGCGGCACTGCCGCCAGCTCCCAGCATACTGGTGTGCACAGTCATCTCCTGCTCTACTGGCAGTGCTGCACCACCTCAGCAGCTCACCTGAGTCACCGAGGTGGGCCATCACAGACCTGGCAGCAGCAGGTCCTGGTGACTCAGTCCCAGTCAGGAGCCTGTGGGGCAGGAGGGGCTCTTATGCCACACCACAGCAAAGAGAAACAGAAAACAGCAGGTTTTGAGGCTCTGTGGAAGGATTTGAGGGAAACAGTCCCTCAAATCCTTCCACAGAGCCTCAGACCCTGCTGACTTAAGCCTGCTGACTTAAGCCTGAGTCAAAATAGAATCCAGCTCCCTCCTCTTGGCTGTGCAAGGAGGTCAACCAATAACAGAAACTGATCCCACTCTAAAAGCAGCTATCTCCTGAGAAGATGCACAAAATACACACGTCTTTCTTAACATTAAACTTGCTTTATAATGCCAACTGCAATTTTGCTATAATTAAATTTCAGTAGAAAGATTAGATCCATGCAGACCTGTGTGCAGCACTGATACCACGTGGGTCACAGAGCTGTTTTCTGTCTTTTCTGACAAGCAACTGCCACAATGTTGAGCTCGAATACTGTAGCTTCTATTTAGTTATCTGCTCTAAACTTATTTATTACCTGCTAAGAAATGATGCAAAAATTCTCTGAGATACACACAAAAATATACCAGCACATCCAAGCTACTGTGCTTGTTGAGGACCATGGTAGGAGATACCTGCTTAGGTTCTGGGAAGTGGTTTGTACAAGGATGAGGAAAAAAGGGAGCATTTCAGATTCAGGACTTTGGGGTTAAACTTTGTGCTCTGCCCCAGGCTCCCTGTTAACGGTTCACAAGTCCTGTTCTTTGAAGCACACTGTTGAACATAGATTTGCACCAGACCAGGTGCACTGTACTGACACCTGCACAACTCATGCACCCTGCCCCACCCTGAGAAGCAGTCCTGTGCTGTTCTTTGAGGAGTACTGCTTGACTTACCTGCCTGCACTAGAGCCGGTCAATAAGTCCACTTCAGCCAGGCAGGGCTCTTCCTTGCTTTTTAGCCAGGTTCAGTTCTTCTACCAGCTTGGGAATTCCTTCCATTGAAGGATGAAGGGGTAAGGTCACTAAGGCTGCACCCATTCAGTTCCAACTGAAAAGTGAGTTCAGCTACTGCAATAAAATTGGAGTCGCACAGCTGAAGGGGAGACAAGAGTGAAGTAGTCCTGGAGGGGCCTGTGTTACATGTTTGCACTATGCTATTCAGTGGGGTGAACAACCAATTGCTGACATCAAAGTGAACACTGAGAGGCCCAGTGTATTTGGCCACTTAGCTATGCTCAGTCACACTTCAATTAAGAGCTGACAGTGCCAGCTAGGATTGTCCATGTAGCTACCAGTACAGGGTGTTTCATTGCCTCATTTTCCTCAGAAGGGGCCCAAAGAAAAGTCACGTTTGTTCAGCGCGAGCTGTATTTGGGGAGGATCAGGTAAGCCAGATGGCAGTGTCAGTGATGGATGGTACAGATTCCGTAGGGCTATGCCTGAATATCCTAACTGGAAAAGCCACGCTGCACTGTACCTCATTGAGATATTGACTATTGCAGCAGTTGCTTTACACTGTTCAATTGGCTGTGTAATTGCTTTCACAAATTAAACAAAAACAATGGTGAAAATATGTAAAATGTCACCTGGGCTGAATTGTGGTTCAGATCCCCAGTGAAAATGAGTCTGGCAGCTTCCCCTCACTTCTTATTTGCTCAGTTTCAGCTTGAATGCCTTTCTGCTCACCAGCCCAGGATGGTGCTGCAGGTCAGATTTTGATATGTTGTTGGTGCTGCAGGGTGAGAAGCCCTGCTTACCTGGCACAGGCTGGAGTTATTAGCCCCCTGTTTTCCAACCCTTCCCTGTCATCCCATGCCTTGGCTGATTTTTGGTTTGCTGTGGTTGCTCTCCTGGGTTTGTCTGCTTTGCAGGGCAAACAAACAATGCTGCACTTTCCTTTTGAGCTTATGTTTCTTTCCTTGTAGCATTTAGCCCTCTAAATGTGGCAGTCGTTCATCTAGTGAAGGCAACTGAAGGAGTGAGAAGGAGCCACATCCTGCAACTGCAAAATGCCAAGTCAGCAGGTCCCAGGCATGCTGACTGTTCCTCCGAGGCAGCAGCCAGACAGTGTGGGCATGCCCTCCTATATCCCCCATGCTCTTTGGGCAGCAGCTAGAGGGAATTAGCCAGTCAAGGTTCAACCAGGTGCCTCTGCATTTCAGGCTCTTTCCATTGCACATTTGTGGAGGTTGCACTTATCTTCACTTTCTTTCTCTCCTTTTCCAGCCTGTTTATGTCACCTGAGCTCAGGAGCGGTGTGGAGCTACTGAATCCAACAAAGCATCAAGAGATGCTGTCACAACCCTACATACAGTAAGTGCAGTTGCAATGATCCTTCTCACAGGTTTTCAAGGAGCAGAGGTTACCCAGATGGCTACAATGCATTATGTCTTCCCAGTGAAACTGAGTGTCTCCATGCCATTGAGATTTTGAGTTGCCACAGCTGGCATCACAGCCACAGATACAATGTTTTCTGTCAGGCAGGCTGGAGGAGCCCATGTTTCTCACCAGATAGATGAGAAACTTTTTAATAGTTTGCAAAATTATGATAAGCTCTGCAAGGCCATTTAAAATGGATAATCTTCAAGTGGTATTAAGGATTAAAATGGGTCTGCCTTGAATGCCTTAATGGGCCCCTCACAGGCTGTTCAGCGTTATCAAAAGGTGATTTTAAGAGTTTGTAATAAATACGTTCCTTTGGGGAAGATTAGGAAATGGAGTGGGATTTGCCATCCTTCTGCTACCTCCAAATTGCTGTGCTCTAACTGAATTAATTTCCTTAGGTCTTCCTTGAACTCCAGAGTGCCAGTTCACTTCTGATCTATTGTTCAGTGAAGAGGTTTGTCCTTAGGGGGAAATGTTTGCTCCAAGAGCTAGGGCGATTTAGTATTTGATTATCAGCCTAGGAGAAATTAGTCAAATTAGGCTTTGGCTTAGAGAACACTTATGTGTATGTTTAACCTTCCATTCCTGAAGAGTCCTTTAGATTTCAAAGTGCAATGAAATAAAGTGTGCCAGCAGAAATCTTATGGGGACTAGGGACTATGACAGCTATTTCCTTGTTCAGAAAGCTTTCCTCAAGCTGGCTCTGCTCATCCTGTTTAGTGTCCATCTCCTTAGCTTTGTTGCAATCCCAGCCTCCATTCATGTGACTTTTCCCTCAGAAAGGAGAGATGGAATAAACATAAAAATAAATTATTTTTGTGACGGTTGCGTCTGTTGAGATCCCTTTTAAGCAGGTAACAGATGATAAATTATTCCTTCTTATTGTGTTCTAGCCTTAAGAGGGCTGGTACTGAAATTACTGGGGGATTTAGTGTTACTTACATTTTAGTTACAATTACTTGGAGATTTTATCTAACCAGATAGAGTTAGTGAAAATACCTTCCTTAAGCATTCATTTGTGATTTCACAGTGTTCCATATTGACTAAGTCCATGTCCTTGGGCAACCAAGTTGTCAGAGTGGTAAAGAAACCACCATAATTATGCTTCTCTGCAATATGTCTGAGGTCTCTATTTATATATAAATACTGTTGTATGCTAGCTAATGGAGTTAAAGTACGATTATGAAACTTTCACATTTCTCAAAAAGTTGATGGATGAACAGTTTCTTGTGGAGCCCGGCAGACAACATACCACCTACTGCAAGTGTCCTAGCAATTAGCCTAACTGCTATTTCTGGCTGCCTAAAATCAACTTGAACACTGAAACTTACTAATTTGTTGGGAACAGTTTTAGAGAGTAATTTCTTTTGATTTTGCCAAATCTATTTGATCTCTGCTAATTCTAAAGCAGACTTTTACCTCCTTGGCTCCTCATCTGCCTGAACTTTGTGGTCTGGAGCCAGCATTTCCAGTACTTTTGTGTTGACTGACTCAATTATTCTGCTTGCTGAGACACTGAAAACTTTAAGACTGAGATTCTCCAAGTTTTCTCAGTGCAATTTGAGGCATTTCTTGAGAGCAATTTAGAGGCCTCAGTTCAGGCATAGTACTGTGGAAAGTAACAACAATATTAGTACACCACTGAAAGATTTTCTACTTCTGTAAGCTTCCTTCAGTGATGTGTATGTCAGCACAGAATACTCAACGCCTTGCTCTATCATTGTTGACTAAAGCATAATTTTGTGTTAATGTTGTCCAAATGGATCTTGAACGCAGGATGTTCGATTTCTCAATTTGGTTAAGCATATGATGACCGAAAAAAAACCAACCCAAGAGGTAATACAAGAAGGGAAAACATGAATATAATAATTTATATTAACCACACAGTCTGATGGCTTGAGAAACTGTTGCCTGTATATCCAGCTCATACTGATTTTGGCTACAAAATAATCATAACTAGAGGTTAGGAGCCAGAAAACGTATTGACTTGGTTTAGTGACCATTTCAAGGAATAACTGAGGAAGGAGGGAAGGGGGATCTATGAGGCTTCCATTGTGCTGGCTCCATGCTGCTGGTGTTCCCAGTTTGCACAGAAGCTAGAAAACATAGTTGGGCTTGGCAAACAATCCTGTCCCAGCTATGACTACATCCATCTGCTCCTCTTATTGTGACAGTCCCCAACTAAGTAATCCCAATTTAACCCAGCCTGAAGATGCATGCTTCCTAAAATCCAGATTACAGATTTTGAATCTGTAGTTAGTGCTTAGACTTCAACTGTGGGGTTAAGCTCTGAGTCAAGAAATTAAAGTGGGCAAGTGGGCCTATTGCCTTCTGCATTTCACACCCTTAAAGTTAATCCTGTTTTTAGACATGTTGATGAATCAGCCAAACATCTTACTGCTGAAAATGCAGAGATTTTACTTTGACAACATGAATAATTCTGTTAGCCTCTGTGAGGCTATTCATGCTTAAACAACAGAACCAACATTTGAACACCAGGACCTTGCAAATCAGACAATAAGCTGGAAAACGCCACTGAGAAATAGACAACTTTTAATTTTGCCCTGTAGTACAGTGGTATTTAGATATTTTTGCCTGCAGAATCATAACAGACTATTGAAAGCACGTGTGGAATCTGAAACATTTATGGTGCAAACATCATGTCAGCATTCTCCTACACAAGAGATGATGAAACTTCCTAAGATGAGAGCCTATGTAAATATGTGTTATGCATCAGCTAGGCAAACAGATGAGGAAGTGTTGTTTTTAGAAGCTCCAGATGATGGCCATGATCCTTCACTGTGATTATTGTAAGAAGAGACATACACCCATGTGCAATCCAACTAATTTATCCTTTGCAGATCCACTGCAGGACCAAGCCACCAGTTCTGCACAGCTGCCAGTGCTGTCTGTGATTCAAGAAAACTGAGAAAAGCTGAAAAGGCTGAACTTGTCACCCTGAAGGAGAGAAAAATGCCTCAGAAAACCTCAGGAACCCTTCCATCCATGCTAAGAGAATATTTGTTCAATTAAACATCTTATACCTGTGTGGCAGCAGCTTGTATCTCTTCATGTGCAAAATCCCTGACTCACTGTTAGTTTCTGCCCATAGTACCTGTCTTAAAACCCCTCAGACTGAGAGGTACCCTTCCACTGGGTCTATCTCCTCCTGGCCATTGAAGGTCACTTCAGCAATTCCTAAAGAGCTATCTTCTTTACAGAAAACACTTGAAGCAACAGGGTGATTGCCAGTATCAAGCCTGGAGCCACAGTAAAAGAAAAGGAAGTGCCCTGCCCCTGTGAAATAAACTTTCTCCAACCCCAGGTTAAAAACAACAACAACAACAAAAACAATTAGACCTTCTGCTGCTCAAAGATAGCTATTAATAAACCTGCCGTTTTGCACAAGTATGTGCATATGTGTCTATAAAGGAAAACCAATGAAACTATCCTCCATAAATTGTAATTGCTTCTTTTGCATTCATATTAATACTTACTTTAAACCCCGATGTCTAACTCTTCATGAGCATTCCTGTCTAGAGAAATTAATTTATGCTTTGTTCTGAAAGCATATCAGCAAATGGGCATTGATGCTGATAGCCATTTATTGCTCCGGCAGTGAGGTTAAACAGGTCGTGCTTTTAACTGCGTGGTACAAAAGATATAAAACTATTTGCTTGAGATATTAATGCAGGATGACCTGATATAACATCACAGTAAAAGAGCTTTTCCCAAAGAAGGGAATTGTGTGCTCTGCTCAGTACCTCCTGCTGACTCTCTGCTCCCCGTGAATAAAGACACAGCTGAATTCTCCCAGCCAGGTGTGATCCAGCAATGAACTGGCAGCACATCCTTGTATCTGCGAATGCCAAGTCTGACTCACAGAAGCAGCCCACTGCCAGCTCTGCAGCCAAAATGCTTGCTCCATTTTCTTAAGAATCAACAAAATACCACACGAACAAAAAATTCTCTTAGTATATATCTCCAAAGAATGAAGCACCTTGGCGTACATACAATGAAGCATCATGTGTGAGAATGGTTTTTCGTGACTCAGCCACCATAGCTGATTTCATGGAAGCAAAAAGGGAAGCTGTGAGTGAAGGAAATGATAAATGGTCTAATGATTAAAGATGATTTACAAAGTCTGATCTCTACAGATGACCTCGTAATTTGAAGGAGAAGAGCTTAAATGTTGGAATATTTCATCTGAAGTAATCTGTTCACTAGAAGAGGGAAACCACGTGCCCTCAGACTGCAGCTGCTGAATTGTCCAGCATGATGGCAAACAAAAGTACATGCTCTGTTTGCATATTTGTCCTGTGCCTTTTGTGTCCCAACTTCGATTCTATTCTGTTTCATTTTGTTCTTCTGTTACTCAGAAAAAAACCCTGAAAAACATTAAACTCAGCTCCTCAGCTCTAAGAAGGCTCTCATGCAATCATATTATCTCTTGACCATAAAATGCACAAATGGATTTGAGTAAGTCAGTCTTGCTTTGGTTTGGTAATAAGGAAAAAAGGTTAACAAAATACATGTTCATATGCCTAAAGATAAGAAAAGTTATGTGATAGATACCAATGTCTGAACAGTAGTCCACAGGATGCAGCTCTCACAGAATAGAAGAAAAATCAAGCAACCTCATGGTTAATTGCCGTAATGGAATACTGATAGTTGCCATTGGCTGAGCAAGAATTCACATGTTGCTGATCCTCTAATTCCCTGTGATACTTTGGATGTTAAGCTCTGAAGCAGTGTTGAATTTGGCAAAGTGAGGACAAAAACCCATTCCTATTCTGAGCATGCTACTTCAGCTACTTGCCTTTCATTCGAGAAAGGGATTTGTTGACAGCAAAATTATTTTCTTAGAAAAACACTAAATGAGAAGATGACAAATGCTGCTGTGAATGTTCACACAACTCCAGGAGCGA